TCATGTGCTGCTGCCTAGACATCTATCAGTAGAGATGAGCTAAATAAGTTTGGTAACTCAGTTTTAGAGGAAGTATGGATTGCAAATCAAGTAGAAAGGAAGAAAAGTAACTTTTTAAAGCATGCTTGTTTAGATAACTTTGATTACATGTCCCAAAGCTTTTCAGAGGAAGTGTCATTTTCTCTTTTAGCCGTTACTCCTCTTTGAATGATATGCACTGCTCATGCTTCACACTACACTTGTGCACCAGACCCTGTCGCAACACTGCTACTTTTCCTCTGCATGTCAGCCTTTCATAGCCACAGACAGATGTTTTTTTCCTCACCTTATAGAGCACAGTTTGTGCCAAAGCAATTTATGGATGGGGAGGCAAAAAGAAAAATGAAATACTGATGCTGAAGGTATCTCTTGGCGCTGATATGTTTGTGTGAGACTGAAGGAAGCTCTTTAGAGAGTTGGAAAGATACTCAGGTAAGTGTGGCTATGATTTCAAGATAAGGAGATTGCCGAGGTTAGCCAGAGGCAGGCCAAGAGACATCAGTCAGTGGTGGATTTCACAGTTTATTGTTTTTAAAATGCTTTGGTTTTAGAATTTCTCTGATTTCTTGGTTTTGTATGTATCTATACATACATACATACATACATATGTATATATATATATATATAGTGTATAACAGAAGGAGAAAATTACTAATCATTAAAATATTTTACCAGCATAGCATCATAAAATGTCTGTGTGATGCATTATATGTATTCTTGTAATTTAATAACCTAGAGAGTTCTTCCATGGAAACAGGAAACAATGAAGTTTCTGAGCTGATGTATGAGATAATGAACTGTGTAATCTTAGATGCTGTGTGCTGTTTCCAAAATATCAAATGTTAAAAAATTGCTTGATGGACTGCAAAAAACCCCCTTTGAGAATGAGCTTGATTTCCGCTCTGTACCACAGCGAAGAAACAGTTGGAAACAGTGCTATACAGAAACAGTGCAAGCCATGCTGCAGAGATCAGTGACTGAGTTTGTGATGTGTGAAAAAGGTACGCTAACTGCGGGAAATGTGGTTTTGTGCTGAGAATTCTGTAGTTCCAGATACACATCTTAGACGTCATTTTAATATTAGAAGATCTTATCATCAATCATGAAAAACTACCTCCAGACATCTTTCCCAGAGGAAGTCTCAGAATCCAAAGGCAGAGGACCAGGAAAATGAAGAACTGCCCACTGTAGGAGATGAGGTTCAAGACCATGTATAAAGATCTTGAAGGTGCACAGATCCATGCATCTAGTGATCCCGAGGGAACTGGCAGATGAAGTTGCTAAACCACTCTCCATTGTATTTGAAAGCTCTTGGCAGTCCAGTGAAGTTCCCAGTGACAAGAAGAAGAGAAGCATAACCCCCATTTTTAAAATGGGAAAAAAGAAAACCCAAGGAATTGCAGTTATTCTCACCTCCATGTCAGGTAAGATCATGGAACAAGAGATCCTACTGTAAGCTATGCTAAGGCACACAGAAAAAAAATGATATGACTGGGGACAGTCAACATGGCTTTACTAAGGGCAAGAAGTGCCTGAAAAATGTGTTGGTGTTCTGCAGCAGAGAGGAGTTACTGTTGCCATCTACCTGGACTTATGCAAAGCACATGATACTGAACCATCACTACATCCTTATCTCTAGATTACAGATACATGATTCTGATGGATAGACCAAGTGGAGATTGGTGACAAGCAGTTTTCCTTGGTGGGTCTATATTGGGGCTGGTACAATTTACTATTGTTCTCAGTGATGTGCATAGTGGGATTGAGTGCATATTCTGCAAACTTGTTGACAACATCAAGCTGCATGGTGCATTTGCCATACAGTATGTAAAGGATGCCATCCAAAGGGACACTGGCAGACTTGGCAGGTGGTCCCAAGAGAAACTCGTCAAGGTCAACAAGAACCATAAGCCCGGTCCTGCACCTGGGTTGGGGCAGTCACAAGCCAAATACAGACTGGGCAGAGAACTTGTTCAAAGCAACCCTGAGAAGAATTTGAGGGTCCTGATGTATGAAAAGCTTTTCATGATGTGGAAATGTATGTGCACTTGCAAGTCAGAGAGCCAACCATGTCCTGGACTGAATTAAAAGAAGCATGATCAGCACATTGAAAGAGTTGATTCTTCCTGTCTACTCTACTCTCATGAGACTCTATCTGGAGTACTGCATTCAATTCTTCAGCTTCCAGTTTGAGAAGAATATGGGCCTGTTGAAGTGGGTCCATAGGAGGGCCATGAAGATGATCAGAGGGCTAGAGCACCTCTTCTGTGAAAAAAGACTGATAAGTGAGGTTATTCAGTCTAGCAAAGAAAAGACTTCAGGGAGACCTTACAGCAGCATTCTGGAGCCTCAAGGAGGAATCTAGAAAACCCGGGGAGGGACTCTTTATCGGAGAGTATAGTGACAGAACAAAGGATAATGATTTTAAACTAGACGAGTGTAGATAGTGTAGATTTAAATTAGCTATTAGGAAGGAATTTTTCACTATGAAGATAGTGAGGCACTGGACCAGGTTGCTCTGAAAAACTGTGGATATTTCATGCCTGTAAGTATTCAAGACCAGGCTGAACGAGGCTTTGGGTAACCTGGTCAAGTGGAAGGTGTGCCTGTCTGTGGTAGGGGATTGGAATTAGATGATATTTAAGATTCCTTCCAGCCCATAGCGTTCTGTAATTCAGTGAAACATTGTGTGTAACCTTCCTTGAGAACTGAAGTAATTATTTCAATATGAAATGGATGTCAGAAGGGTATTTGTTGTATTATCAATTTTTGTGTGTGTAATATATCACGTAAGGGAAAAGAATTGTCGGCAGGTAGACTTGCCAAATATTAGCAGATAGAGAGAGGCAGTATTTATAATTTGTGATCTGTCCTCAAAAATGACAAAACAGGGCACTGAAAGTCAGTGCTTGTTTGCCATGACATCTCTCAAGCCATAGGATAGAGAATTTATTTTCATAAATAACATTATCCAGCATATTAGATTTGCTGGAATAACTGTAGTGACTGATATGTTTAAAAGATTTTTTGTTTCTTTTTTTTTTTTTTCTTCAGTAAAGCTGATATTCATATGAAAATTCATACTATATTCACTAATTATCTGAGCAAATTAAAATTTATTTAGGATCACCAGCTGTACGTAGAATCATCTTAGTTCCTGACTTTGGTTCTATATGGTAATATAGTAATATTTATTAAATGAATACATAAATACATCAATAATACATGAAAACAACAAAAGAGATGAAGATAGAATATCACTTAGTTGTGGAAAATGCCTGGGTTTAACAGGATTTGCATTCAAGTGTAACTAAAAAGTAACTGCAGAGCAGTCATCAGTTATTGTGGAACCAGTGTTACCTGTTTATTGCAGGACATTTAGGAATTAATAGAGTGTAACTGGAGACACTTTTTTTCTGTAGCAGAAGTTACTGACTTGATATAGTCAGGGTCTAAAAAAGGATAACACTGTGCAGCACTCCAATTTTTATTTTAAAGATACAAAAGTTTCTGGTTCTAGAAAGCTAAGAAGTTCACAAAGTATTTGAAGTAAAGCCTCCTTCCCATTTCAGCTTACTCAGCTGTGAGAGGGAGAGTTTATAAAAAAATACAAAATACAAACTCATTTCATAATAACTGTCCCTCAAGAATGAAAAGCCTTTGAAATTGTAATAGTGACCTTGTCTTTCATGAGCATTTTGAGAGCAGAATTAAAAATATAGATGTTTGTTCTTCTTGGTGCACTTGTAAGGCTGACAAGGAAGTAATGATGTGCTGTGACCTAGCCAAAATAGGCTAGCTCTGTTAGAAGTAGGCTTGGTGCACAGGCTGCAAAACAGACAAATCTCAGTAAATACAGAATATTGCCATGTGTGTGCACTTGGATTTAATAAAACTAAGTACAAGACAGTAAAACAAATTAAGATGCTTAAGAGATTAAGATATTTTTAATTAAGATTTGCATTTTTGTTTTTTGTTTTTTGTTTTTTTTTTTCATTTCATTTTAGCTTGTGCTCTTAGGTTGAAGCTTTTGAGTAGAAAATTTATACAAAAAATCATAAGCACATGATTCATTCAGAATAATAACAAACTACTTGATGGGTAGGATTTTGTTACAGGTTTTGCATCTCAGGGCATTGAATGAAGTGTCTGTTTTGCTCAGGAGGTGTTGCCTGGAAATGTTTTATGCAGAAGGATGAGAATTTATATTGTAGAATCAGGAGCAGGACACTGTTCTGGTCCTCTGATAAAAGCCAGCTGTGGTAGCTTTATCTCATAAATAAATGAATGAATAAGTGTGCATTGGGATGAGTATACTTCAGGTAAAGTTCTTGCAAAGTAATAATAATAGGATTTGGTATGACATTTTGCCAGCCCTCACTCATATCCCCAACTTTTCTAACATTTGTTTTTTTTTCAACTCATAAATATTTCTGCAGCCGATACACTGTTAAATGATACTGGATTCCACGGAGAGGTTACGTATGTTAATAAAATGGGAGACAAAGGTATTGATTCCTGATGTTTCTTTTGCTATGAGAGAAAAGAAAAACAAAAAATCTTTCATGAGAGCAAGAACATTCTGAAAAGCAACTCTTAACTGTGTCCTTCTGAAGTGTTACTTTCCAGTACACTCTTACTTTTGAAAAGAAATGAAAAATAAACTCGTTTTTGCAATATGAAAAATAAATTTGAATGCCCCATGGGAGGGACAAGATAGTGGGAACCGAAAAATATCTCTGATCATACCCTGTGAAACCAAGTTGTGTACTTCATAAGGAGCAGAAATTACTTACAACATCTTATGCTTCCTAATCCTTTTGCAACGTTGATCATTTCTCTTTTTAAGGAATGACTATATCTGGACCTGACAAAGGCTAGTTCAGTTGTTCAGCTTAGACAGATAACTTATGTTTTGCAATATCTTTTTCATTCTAATGAGCTCTTTCTCTCTATTTTAGACAAATATCACTTGCTGTGTCATAGCACATGGATTTCAGGACCGCCTGCGAAGAGGTAGGATCAGATATTTTTCTTTTCAAACAATAGTAGATTCAAAATCAATGCACTTTTAATCCTTTTTATATGCTAACACACCCTGCCCCTTCTTTACCCCCTTTTTCTGCAATGTGAGGAATTATATAATCAGATGTAAGTTATTCAGTTGATTGCTTCATGGTGGCAGGCAGACTCTGTAATAGAACATGAAAGCATTTTCACGGGTGTTTTCATCACCGCCCCTCACCTTTGTCCCTTCCAATTTACCTCTTTGGGCACAATGTGGGTGCAGGTATCTATCTACGTTTTGTGTGAGCTTTGCCCTTAGTCTTTACCATTTATATTTGAAAGCCTGTACATGAAATAAAACATCAGTGGAGTCCCAAAACTATCTCTGTTCAACAAAATCAAAGGCAAAATGTAGGAGTATGGGAAAAGGGTAGGGAAAGATTGGAAGGTATGAAAGTGACCCAAACAAAAAGTACTTCAATTTTAATTTGATGAGACAAGAGAGTAACTTTCACATAGTATAGGTATATAGTTTCAAAATATCAATATAAAGTAATTCAATTTCCCCTCCACTACCGATAGAGGAAGTGTTTTTGTTTTTTTCCTGTATTTTCACCAACTTTGAAGGTAAATAAGATATATTTGAATATGTTATTAAGTGCAGCAAATCTTCTCAGTGGTTTCCCGTGGACAATTTTTCTTCAATATGGTTACACAACTTTAGTTACACCACATTATGTTGTAATGTGAAGTCATTTTTAAGATTAAAAAAATCATTCAGTTGCCTTCATACTGAGAATAGCAAACAGTGATCAGGAAGGTGGTCATGTCTTTATAAGTGACCATAATTCCATGAAAAATAGAAGTGGAAGGAGGAGAATAACAATAGGTCAGAGAACTACAAGTAGCCAAAACAATTTTGACTTGAGAATAAATTGATGTAAATTACTTGGGGGAAGAGAATATGAGCAGGCTGAAGATTATGAAATCATGGTAGCCTTCTGAAAAGTGCACTGAGATTAGAAAATAATATTAAAGTGAATTTGGTCTTTGGGAAAGGATACCATGATGGTTGCCCACAATACTGTATGAGAGACTTTATATGCAATCTAAATTCTGTAATACAGTATATCCCAGATTATTTGCCTGGGGTAAAAGAGACATTTCTAGTTTTATTTCTTGCTTTTTTCTTTTTAATTGATTTATGGAGCAGATATGCGTTATCTTTACAGGATTTTTGTGTTCTTACTTTAACTGCAGCCTAGTAGAGATTGCTTAGCAGCAATTAACTTAGCTCAGTGCCCAGCAGCAATAATGACAACAGCAGCCACAGAGATGACCTGGAATATGAGTCATGTCTTAGCCTTTAAAGTGCAAGTATACTGTCAGATCTGTTTCATTCAGTATTTGGTTTCTAATTGGGCATTCATTTCAAACTTAGGTCTTTAAAAATCTTTTTTTTTTGAGCTTCCATGATGGACATTGGAAATACAGGGTTACTCCTCCCACCATAAAAGATGCTTGATCTAAGCAAGCATTTCTAACTTTTAAATTAATTAAATTAAATGAAGTAGATTCAACTCCATTTTATCTGCTTTGCGTGAAATTAGGTCTGTGCCACAGAATCAGTGGTGCCACTTCTGAGAAATTCTTAAAGCTGCAATGAACTAACTACATCTTGTGTCCCAAGCCAATCAAAGTTAATAAAATATAGACTTTTAACCTACTTTCACCAAATAAAGCATCAGTAGCCTTATGCTTACAGGTTTAGCTAAATTTTTAACTAAAACCTCAGCACTAACATTGTAAGATATCCTCTACTTTCGTTGTTGTTCATGGAAAATATATATCAAGCTGTATTCTCATGGCCCAAGAGACATGTAGCCATCACAGTTCTGCAGCCCCAGATCCAAACAGTAGTGGGGGTGAAGATATATACCCACTAGGCATATGCACACAGAGCACACTACATATATGAATAGAGATGTACATATGCATGTATGTGGCCAGCCATTTGAATTATGTGAGGACATGCAAAGCACTCGCACAAACACAGATGGCATCAGCAGCCTCATCTAAGCTTCTTTGGCTGAGCAAAATAGGTTTTCATTAGAGATTATACTTATGTATGCATACATAGAATGTAGGTGCTCCAGCAGCTGAGCTTACCACACAGCCTGCCCAGTAGCTTCTCCTGGGGCCCAGTCTCCTCAGTTGCTGGCACCTCTAAATGCACACACAAGAAGTCTCTCATCCAGGAAAAAAGTTACAAAGGAATTCAGTAAGTTACCTCAGAATATGACCAGATAGATGTGCTGACCAGTGGCCTATTTAGATGCAGCCAACCTCTCTTTATGTCCTTGCCCATCTACCTTCTCTCCAAATCACTTAAATACCTCTCTTTCTCTGCCCGTGGCTCCTTCTTAAAATTTCCATAGTAAGTCCTGTGCAATTTAGAGCTGCATCCCTTTCTTTCAGGATCTGAAGAAGGGCAATAACAAGGAAGGGAACAGACTCTTCAGCAGGATCTGTTGTGATAGGACAAAGGAAAATGTTTTCAAACTAAAAAAGTGGAGATTTAGGTTGGATATAAGAAGGAAGTTTTTTATAATAAAGGTGGTGAGGTACTGAAACAGCTTGCCTAGTGAGATGGTAGATGCCCCATCTCTGGAGACATCCAAGGTCAGGCTGGATGGGGCTCTGAGCACCCGGATGTAGCTGCAGATGTCTCTGTTCATTGCAGGGAGGTTGGACTAGTTGACCTTTAAAAGTCCCTTCCAACTCAAACAATTCTATGATTTTATGATAGTACATTTCACACCCCTAGACAGTGAAGCTTCTAAGTCCCAAAGATAGTCTGGTATTGTATCATCACGAGGAACCTGTCCCAGTGGGTTCATCACATTCATTACATCTAGATACTGGGGCTGGAGCTCTCCCAGGACAACACTGGGAGTGGATCAGATAGAGTGTTCCTTCCTCTGAGTCCTTATTTTGGGTTTCCACCTTCCTGTCTGTGTGCTTCCCTAGCTTGTGGAAGTGGAACTTTGATAGGCTGATGGCCTCTGTGATGGGCCTGGATTAGCCAGGCAGGGTGTTACTCAGGCTCCCACCATCTGTTGTCTGTATAACTTTGTGCACACAGACAAGGTTTTATCACATTACCTAACAGTTGTATTTTCCATTTACTTGGTTTCCAGAAGGGTTTGGGGTTTTTGCTCCGCTATGTGGACAGTTTCCTTTGACTTGTGCCATCCAGTTCTATTAATCAGTTAATATAGATTTTGAGTTCAGTATGAGATGCAATATTCCATTCTGTCAAGTATTTCAATTCCAAAATATCTTTCAGCCAAGATTTTATCTTTGAGTTTCTTGTGAAAGTGATGATAGAGACTAAAGTACCATCGTGGCACTGCCTCCTTAATGAACTTATAGTTTTGTTCCACTGGTACATCTTCAGCAGCAGTTTAATCTCTCCAAGCTGTATTTTGTGTGCAATCACAAAAGCTTTGTTATTATTTTATTTCAACTACTGACAAGAAACATAAAATAGCTCTAGTCTTTGTTTCACAGTACTTTTATTTGATTGGTTATCTAGTCAGTACATTTACAACTTTCAGCCTTCCTTTCTGTACTTCCCCAGTTGCATCAGTTTCTCAATTAATCTATGTATCTGAGAAAAGTAGTCACTGATCTTGTATGCCACTATACTTACGAGGCAGTTTTTGAGAACTTCATTCTAAAGTTCTAGTAAAGGTTATCACGAAGCCTTCCTCTTCTTCCCCTCTTTGTTTCCTTTCTACTGAATATCTTATTGCTCTTTTTTCCCAACTCTCCAGAGACATGTAATCACCACCACCACTTCAGAAGAACTGAGATAGCTCTCCCAAAATGCTGAGTGAAACTCAGACACTTCACTGGTACTTTCATCCCCATCCTTACTAATGGCAGTAAGTGATTTGAACTGAGTTTCAACTAGCATAAAAACAAAATATTCCTCATAGATGCACTACAGACAAGGCATACTAATCATAATATCCATGGCAAGCTCTATTTTTCCTAATACTGATGCGAGTTAAATTCAGTAAACAGCCAAATACCACACAGCTACTTGCTCACTTCTCCCACAGTGGAACACAGAAGAAAATTAGAAAGTTTAAGTGTGAGAACTTGTGTATTAAGACAGTTTAATAGGTAAAGCAAAAGCTGTGTGCACAAGCAAAACAAGACAAGGAATTCGTTTACTGCTTCCCGTTCCCAGTCAGATGTTCAACCTTTTCCAAGAAAGCAGGGTTCCATCACGCCTAATGGTTACTTGTTAAGACAGACTCCGCAACTGTGGATGTCCATCCAGATGTTCACCCTTCCTCCTTCTTCCCACAGCTTTTATTACTGTGTACTGTGTCACATGGTATAGAATAGCACTATGGTTCATTTGAGTAAACTGCCCTGGCTTTGTCTCCTCCCACTGTTATGTGAGACAGTCTCAAAGGTCTTGCTGAAGTCCAGGTAGACAATATTCACAGTTCTTTCCACATCTGCCAGGTCAATCATTTCATGGTAGAAGTTCATCAAGGTGGTCAAGAATGACTCCCCCATGGTGCGTCCACAGTGAGTACCTCCTGTTGACTTTCTTTCATGTTTCTGGAAATGGTTCCCAGGATTAGTTGTTCTGTTACCTTTCCAGGGATCAAGGTGAGGCTGACAGCCTGTAGTTCCTTTGATGCTACTTGCCTTTCATGAAGATAGGAGTGATATTTGCTTTCCTATAGTCTTCAAGCTGTTCTTCCAGTCACCGTGATCAAAGATTATCACTAGTGGCCTCACAATGAATCTTATTCCATGGATCTTTTCCAAGAAGATCCTTGAAAAGATCAAAGTCTACTTGTTCAGGTGCATGATGTTCAGGGTTGTGAGCTTGCTTTTCATCTTCCTCCCTGTCCTTAGGATCCTGAATTCTGTCATTTCATGACTTCTTCAGGTAAGACTGTCTCTGACCTTCATGTTCC